GAGAAACTCCCTTCTCTTTTCAAATGGAGACATGGAATCTTTGACATCCACCTGAGCAAGCAGGCATGATCTCAGTTTAATGTGTCATCCAAAGTCCGGCACCTTGGACAATGCAGCGCACATCAGTACTACACACCTTGGCACTGCAATGTGTTGTCAGCCTAGCTTGAGCTGAAAGCTCCGAGGTTGGGTTTGAACCCACAACCTTCTGACTCAGAGGCGAGATTTGATATAGTGCAGCCGAACCAGGCAGACACTTCCTTCTCCAAGGTCTGCAATTATTTGCTACCATGCATGCCATCAGGCACGTGACTGCAGTACACGATCAAGGTCTGTTCCAACACATAGTAGCCTCTGGTTCTGAATGCCCCCAAAATATACAGTCAATTCACTTTACAGTCTATTCTGAGAAGTGCTTTGAGACGTCTCAAAGACGTGATAAGGCGCTATATCAAATGCAAGAATTATTATTATTATTTATTATAACGTGGAACCGCGTACAAACTCCAACTGTTAATATTCTCCGGGACCACAGGGTCAGGAGAGCGTGCATATTCCAGCAGGTTCGGGATCCAAAACCTACATTGCTGCACGTCAACAAATTCCTAAAGCACAATGGGGCAGTATACTCCATCCCTGGCTTTAAAGTTTGGAAACCTTGAACTTTACAGCTCCTTATACATCAAAACATCTCAAGCTGCTTTTGAGTCATTAAATTGTGATTTCTGGTAGCTATTGCACCACCTAAAGTATAATGGGCACACATAGAAACCAATATCATCCCCCAGATTAACCACAGAAAGCGACTGATAGCACAACACACAAAGAACATACCGGCCGCTAATTCTTTCCGTGCCTTGGCCTGCACAGGCTGCAATTCCAGCTGAGGGTACAACTCCAACCAGTCTTATGCAAAGAACCTCTGGACTACTTCCCCCAGAAAGGTTAATTTGTTGCAAAGACAATTTTGTCACACGTGTCCTATGTAGGATTTATCAAAACACCTACAAACACACACCTACGAAATTGACAACGATTCTACTTTACAGTACTTCCTGTGAAGCGCTTTAAGAAAGACGTTCTCCCGACGTGAAAGGCGCTATATCGAATATAAGCAGTATTGTTACTTTAAACGTGTCCTAAAGAAAGCACGACTCAGAAAGTTTGGCACAGCTTCTAGAGTCAGCCTAACTATGAAACAAAGTCTTCAATATTACCCCTTTACAGTCGGAAACTAATGCAACATATAAACCATTTTAATGATGTTTTTACTTAAAGCTTTCTTCCGAGTCAGTTTACGCAGAACCCGTTCTCAGCTAACATGAGGCTAATGCCTGAAGAAAAAAAACACTTCAATTTCTTGAAGCGCTGAAAACAAGTAAATTGCAGCAACAAAGGAACAATAGTTTGATGCTGCAACGGGAGACAACAAGTTTACTGGAAGGAAGAGATCAACGGGATGAATTGGTCCCGTGAATTGACCATATGAATAGCTGTGTGTAAATCATGCATCAAGAGTCAGGACTCCTCACATACGCTACAGTGCTGCCACCAGAGTTTGATGCCCCTTTGCCTCTCCTGCACGTCCCTCCTCTCACCTCTGAACTTTATTTCACTTCTGCTGCTCTCCACATACATGTGTGGATAAGCTCCGTTTGGGCCAATAGCCACCTGCCTTCCTTAAGCAACAAGCTGAGTGGCATCCAAAAAACAATTTAGCTGCAGGGTGTATTTCTGAGTTTAGTGAGGAATGCCACGAATGTAAAGCTTGTGCATTTCAATACCACAAATTCGTCACTGTAGTGGAGTCAGCTTCCACTACTTGCCTCAATAATGTGTCACCACCCGTTGCAGGAATGTGTGATAATTCACGTACAAGCCAAACACGAAGCCTGAAACTGAAATGTTTCTACCTAATCAGGAGCAGGATGTATTCTTTTGCTGTGAGACCCTGTGAGCAGAACCTGGGTTGAGATTCTTCGAAATACAAGTCCACGGTGGTTTTGAAACCAGGTCTCAGAAGTGAAAGGATAGTATGTTCAACCAGAGTGGACAAAACACAATAAAAGCAATTATTTAATGTTGGCTTATTTGTAGACTGGAAAAAAAAGACACTGATAATAATGGGGGGTAACAAAAGTGGCCAAAAAGGATGGCCAACACTTAAACCAATACTTAAACCCCAAACTCTACAATACCATTGGAATATTAGTAACATATGTGTTAGCAAAGTTATAATGTCACAGGAAATACCTGCTTTTGGATGATTTTGTAACATTCCATGAATGAATTGGTTATAATAATAACCCCTACATTTGATATAGCGCCTTATCACATCTTTTGATGTCTCAAAACACTTCACAGAATATACAGTAAAGTGAATTGACTGTGTATTTTATGGGTGAAACATAGCAGCCTATTGCACATATCAGTGTCTCACAAACAATCGTGGATTTAGTGACCACATTATTATTATTTATAATTTATATGCAAAGTAACATTGGGCAAAAACAATAAGTGAAGAGAAAAATAAACTTGAAATGGCACATCATTGATTTATTTTTGTTTCGCCTTAGACAATACTCTGCAATCAGAGTATTATTGCTGCAGAAGGTCCCTGTGATCTCACAGAGCCTGACAATGCTATCTACCTCGCTCTTTTGTTTGAAATGGGACACAGTGAGCCACAGTTGTATTTTTAGTCTTATCACAGCTTGCTGATAAATTCAACTCCCTAATTTCATTTCAGTGCCCGTTTCATAAACATTGTGCTGTTGCTGACATCACAAGAAACAGCGCTTCTATCGCTGTGGGTGTCAACCTGTCTTAGCTGGTAGCACTCTCGCCTCTGAGTTAAAAGGTTGTGGGTTCAAGCCCCACATCAGGACGTGGAACTCATGTAGTCTAGGCTGACACTCCAATGCATTAATGGGGGCGTGCTGCATTGTTGGAGATGTCATCCTTTGGATAAGATGTTAAACCAAGGTCCTGTATGTCTACCCAGGTGGACGTTAAAAGATCTCACAGCACTATTTGAAAAGAGAAGGGAGTTTCTCCAGGTGTCCTGGCCAACAATCCCTAAATAAAGTTGGTCATCCACTCCATTGATGTTTGTGGGATATTGCCGCATGCAAACTGATTGCCACATTCACTCAGGAAACATACATCAACACCACACTACAGTATATTCTGTGAAACACTTGGACATGTCTCGATGACTAGATAAGGCGCTACATCAAATGCAAGAATTATTATTATTATTATTACCAATTTATTCCTTTCAGGCTGCAGTAGCAAAAAGGTTGGCCTTGCGATTCTAACAGAACTATTATCGAATAAATGATCCGCTCCCCAGTTGCACAAATGGAAATCAAGACATGCAGAGGGGTAAAGCTCTGTTATTAGCTCTAGCACAAAACCAAACCGAAAACAAAGCCAGGGAGAGGAAACACATGCCTATGCTATTGACAAATGTCTTACGCGCATACATATATGCTGACTGCCAAGGTTTAGCTCCTAACACTGAGCAGGTGACACACCCAAACTCATGTATCCAAAATACTATTGCTTTTGTATCAACCCAACAGGACTTTAGCTTTCGTTTTATCATAAACTGCAACTATGCGACTTTACTTTTGAGTCATCCAGAAGTTGTTTATTGATTTCTAGCAAATTTAAGCTTTGAAAACATCAAGATACTTAAGCTTCTCAGCACCATTATCTTCAAACATGCTTCAGAAACGAGGCAAAGCACGAGTTTCATAGAGCACATAATTGGATTGGATTTTCAAAAGAAAAAANTGATGCAACCAATTTTCGAAGTAGATCAAGAACTTCTCCAAACTGCAGTAACTGCTAGTTAAATATATGTAATGATAATAATCCTTGCATTTGACATAATGCCTCATCCCGATCCATCTCAAGGCGCTTCACAGGACTTTACTGTGAAGTGTAGTGACTGTATTTTGCAAGCGAACATAGCAGCCAATTTGTGCACAGGGATGTTCCACAAAGAGCCATAAAGTGAATGATCAATTTCATTTAATGATGATTTGATTTTTCTTCGGGTTTCATTTTTTAAGCAAAATGGATTTTTGAAAAAAGGATACTTGTTGCAGTTAATTGAAGGTGTACTGTAGCTCAGTGGTTAGAGCACTCGCTTTGCAAGTGAGAGACCCGAGTTCAATTCCAGGCAGAGGGCGAAACCTTGGGCAAGTTTCTTTATTCCACACTCCTAATAATAATCCCTCCAAAAAAAAACAATAATAAATTGGTCATTTTCAATCTACGACTGTTTGTGGGACACTGCTGTGCGCAATTGGCTCCCGCGTTCACCCACAAATATACAGTCAATTCATTTTACAGTATATTCTGTGAAGCGCTTTGGGACGTCTAGAAGACGTGAAAAGCTCTATATCAAATGCAAGGACTATTATTATTATTATTACCTACCACCAGCTGATTTGGGAATCAAATTGAGTTTGTGAAAACTTCAGCACATCAGGTCACTAAACACTTTCCGAATTAGATCAGCAACAAGTGAAGGCGTTTCAATGTAATCAAACTTTGAATCCTCCCAAAAGACTTAAGTTTGATGATAGATTTTTACAGCTTTTAAACTGATTCTGATCAATTCTTCACCGTTGTACCTTCTCGGACATGATCAAAAGTTTGTTTGATTAAAAGGCTTGCCAATACCCAGCAGTTTATCCCAATGTGTAATCTCCAAGTAAAGCATTAGTGGGGGACGGAATAAAGTATTATACGTCAGCTTGAAAATCTCACAACTTATTCAATGAACTCACCAAAGTTAGTTCTCCTTCTGCAATGGTTTTTGTAGCTTGCATTTAACTTTTTGCAACTTACCTAGCATCCGGAGGTTGTATCAGAGCACCATTTGTTGGGAGTTTGCCTGAACCTTCTCAAAAGTAGGGATAGCGAACCTTTTTCTTTGTGCATATATTAATAATAATAATAATAAGAAGAAGAATGTCTCTTACCATCTGTATGGAGCAAAACACTGTTCTCTGTGAAAGTGTTCTCTTCTGGCCCCCCAGGCCCTAGAGGCTCTTCCACCTGGGACATCTGCCAAGCGGCTCAGCTCACTCTCAAGGCACTTCAGACCCTAAAAACCGAAGCAGCTGAAAAGCTGCTAAAAAGCCCAACCGTGAAAAACTCCCGAGTTTTTAAAAGAGAGAAACAAAAACTAAGCCGTTCCATGTAGCAAAGTGGAGCCATAAGAAAGATTATGATGATAATGATGAGATTACTTTTGCGCTGCAGGCAATTTCTGACACGCCAAGAGCTGTCCGCGAATTGCAACTGATGCACACATTCACAGTCACTTACACGCGCGCTTGCACACTTACACCCACGCGCACCTACACACTCACTCACTCACACTCACTTACACATGCACTCACTCACACACACTCACTCACTTACACACGCACTCACTCACTCATTCACACACACACTCATTTACACACACTCACTCACTTACACACGCACTCACTCACTCATTCACACACACACTCATTTACACACACTCACTCACTCATTCACACACACACTCATTCACACACACACACTCACTTAGACACACACTCACTTACACTCACTCACTTACACACACTCACACACTCACTCACACACACTCACTGACTCACTCACACTCACTGACTCACTCACTCACTGACTCACTCACACAAACTCACTCACTGACTGACTGACTGACTCACTCACTCACACACACTCACACACACACACACTCACGTCTCGGGGCAGAACTTTTCAGCCAAGTTTCGGCCAAACCTTAGATTGCGGGGAAGCGCAACAGGCAACAGCGAACGGGGTTAAAAGTTACGCTCAGAGAGAGAGAGAGAGAGAGTGAGAGAGTGAGAGAAAAGAAAGAAAAGAAAAAGAGAGAAAGCGCTGCACACTTTCCGCCACAGTCGGTCGTCGTTCCAGTACCTGAAAGACATCCCAGTTTTCCCCCTCTCTCTCTCTCTCTCTCTCTCTCTCTCACTCTCTCTCTCTCTCTCCCCCTTTTTTTTTTGGCTGCGCGTCGACTTATAAAACTTTTATATATTGATATATAATTTTTTTTCTGAGGGGAAGAGCAAGAAAATGTTACAGAGATTCCCGGAAAACAATCGGTTATTTCTTCTTCTTCTTCTTCTTCTCCTCCTTCTTCTTCTCCTTTTTTTTTCCTGTGATTCAAGTTCCTTTTTTTATATATATATATAATTTGGGTTCTCTCCTGAGGGTCGGACAGAGCGCGAGACAACCAGATTCCCTGCACTGCTCCTCCTCCTCCTCCTCCTTCACATTATATTCTCTCCAAACTCTTCTTCACAGACTCTTTTTTTTTTGTGTGTGTGTGTGACTTTTTTTTTCTCTCTCTTTCTCTGCAATTTTCATCATTTCCGGATTCCGACAGTAATATCCAGAACTGGAGCTCAGCCACAGAGAGAGAGAGAGAGAGAGGGAGTGAGGGGGAGGGAGGGAGGGAGTGAGAGAGAGGGAGTGAGTGAGAGAGAGGGAGTGAGAATGAGGGAGAGAGAGGGAGTGAGGAGAGGGAGTGAGTGAGAGAGAGAGAGAGAGAGAGAGGGAGTGAGGGAGAGAGAGGGAGTGAGAGAGAGAGAGGGAGTGAGTGAGAGAGAGAGAGAGAGGGGGGGAGAGAGCAGGAATAATAATAATAATAATCCTTGCATTTGATATAGCGCTTTTCACGTCGGGAGGACGTCCCAAAGCGCTTCACAGAACACACTGTAAAGTGAATTGACTGTATATTTGTGGGCGAACGCGGCAGCCAATTGCGCACAGCAATGTCCCACAAACAGTCGTAGATTGAAAATGACCAATTTATTATTGTTTTTGGTTTTGGAGGATTAATAGGGCTGTGGAGTAAGGAAACTTACCCAAGGTTTCGCCCTGCCTGGAATTGAACTCAGGTCTCTCACTTGCAAAGCGAGTGCTCTAACCACTGAGCTAAAGGACTCCAAATAGGACAGGACAGTGACAGGACTCCGAATAGTCACTGGGTCTCTCCGCCTGTCTTAAGTTCTTCACTGGCCCCCAACAGGAGCTGTTGAACTTGGCTCCAGGTTCGCTCCACCACCTCTCGTGGTGTTTCAGAGTCTTGACGCCCTGTTCGTCTCAAGCCCTTGCTTTTTGGAAGCCGGCGCTCCCGGTGGATCTTCTCCCGAAACCCAAGGCCCCCTCGAAGTGACGACACCGACGAGTTGCGTTTACGCAGTGCCCCGTTTCACGTAGGGTGATGTCCGGGAGCGTTGGGGTTCGATGCCGAGCGAGGGAGAAAGGGGGAAGCGACCGTAGATAGATAGGCGTAGTTGAAGAGAGTTACCCAGCTGGGATTTCAAGATAGTGATAGAGAGGGCTTAAGGTGGAGGGATTTGCAGAGATAAGGGGTGTATTTTGACTGCATTTAAGCATTTGTTCAATTCTGAACAGCTCAAAGCCCTTCGCAGGATTTTACTTTAAAGTGGAGTGACTGCGTATTTTGTAGGCAAGCAACATTAAATGAAAAAAAATTAAAGCAATACCCACCTAAGTTACTTAAAAAGCTGCTTCAAAAATCTTAAACGTTGAAAAAGTGCAAACCCAATTAGGGTTTTATAATACTGTACTTAGTTGAAAAAACAAACTTTAGCTGATTCATTGTAGAGTCATACTGATGTGATGTTAGCATTGTTTGGTTTTTAATCTGCATGTTGCACTGACATCATAGGACACCAGGATGGACCGCAGAAAGAAAAGGCACCTTTGCCATATCAAAAAAAAGTATGCAGTGCCACACCTAATGTGTGGCATCAAAGATTGTGGTCAACGATCAACAGCAATATAATTGTTAATACTGCACTTCAACAAACACGAATTGCTATTTTATAATAAATAATAATAATATACATTTGATGTAGCACTCTTTACATTGGCACTTTACAAAGCACTTCGCAAGATACACTGTAACATCTAGACCCTAGATTGTGTATTTTGAAGGAAAATACGGCAGCCAATTTGCCAACAGCAATGTCCCTGAAACAGCCATGAAACGAATGACCAATCTTTTCTGGGCAATTCCCGGTGAGGATATTAGGAGAAACTCCCATCTCTTTCTGAGTTATGCCAGGGGCTATTTAACATCCACTTGAACAGGCAGATGGGAAACTGTATAATGCCTCATCCAAAGAATGGCATCTCCATTAATGCAGTGTGCCCACAGTACTACATTGGAGTGTCAGCCTAGACCATATGAGCCAAAGTCACAAAGTCTCATAAAGGGGAAGTGATTCGGGTTTCTATAATTAAGAGGCAAAGGGGTCAGTCAAACATAAGCAATAAACAGTCGAATCCTAGAAGCAACCTGTGACTGAATTAATTGGGTTGTTTCTTGTTACACCATCTATACTCAGCTGAGACGACTCATCTCTGTCAGGGCTGTGGTGTGACTCAAATGCAGGATTACAGTGTTTTGACAGAAGCACCTTGTTTTCTATGCTGCCAAAGAACAAAACTGACAATGGAACTGTAAGCTGTCAGCGACAACGTTAATTCCACGCATGGACTTTATTTCCTTGACATATCCACTTCTCAACAGTACATAACCTAACTGTGCCAAGTCCAGCCGATAAGAATTGGATAGTTAGGAGCTATCTTAATGTTTCCTTAACAATACCACCTGTCAAGCTCTCCGAAATACACACCATCCTGTGTTGACAATGTCTTCGAAATTGAAGAAGAAAATTAATTGTAGAGTAGAGCTTCTCAAAAAAAACTTGAATCGCAAGTTGGGTAAAATCAGTTTCAAAATCACTGAATCTAAAGTACCCCATTCCTTGCCAAGCTCCACTCGTTCCACGGCTCCTGGCCGATGTCCCACAAATATGGAGTGAATGACCCATTTTTTTTTATTGTGGGGGATTGCTGGCTACAACACCAGGAGAAACTTCGTTCTCTTTTCGAAGGCAGATGGGTCCTAGGTTTAAAATCTTATCCGAAGGCCAGCATCTCAGTCTTTCCAGCATTGTATTGGAATGTCAGCTTAGATGACGTGACTCCAAGTCCCAACTTGGGGCTTGAACGCACAACTTTTTGACTCAGACGCAAGAGTGCTACCACTGAGCCAGGCTGATACCATTGGTGGCAGGGCCTTCATTTCCTACCTTCTTACCCTCTGGAACTCCCACGATCCCTCTGGCTTGGCCCCTCTCTTTCTGTCTTCAAATCCCACCTCAAATCCTACCTTTTTGAATGTGCTTATGGCCACCTCAGTCCACACCCATTTGCTCAGCGACAAACCTTTCCTTGTGAAACACTCCAGGAACTCACACAACACACAAACACAAGCTGTTGTGGTTGTAACATAAGACATTTCATTCACTGGTCTCTCCGATTCCAAAACTCTCATTAGAGACCTTACTGACAGAGCAACAACACGGGAAAAGATTATTATTTTTAATTATTATTAAAATTAGACACTGAAAGTTTGAAGAGTGTAGGAAAAGGGTTAAAGTCACAGGACACAGGTGGATTACCCTTCTTATAAATCTTCTGCAACAAGGAGCGAATGCAATTTGTTTATAATTTATCAACACAATGTAATGGTGTGAAAATGTAAATGAAGCATATTCCATTCTGTAGAAATGTGAATTAACACCCTAAAAATAAGTTTGTGATTTTAACACCAGAAGTTTTAGCAAAATAATGACAAAGGATTAAATACACTGTAACATGTGACAAACACATGCGTACATCTCTGGGAAGGGTAGAAACATGAAGTCAGGAAAATGAGTCACAGAATGAAGCATGAAATGACTCAGACAAGTAACTTGTGTTGATGAGTGGAGGAATGAACAAATTATGTTGGCTGTATTCCAAATGGTTTGGATCCTATAACATTCAATGCTTTTCTGTGTTTTTTGGACATATCGCATACTCTAATTACATTTTTTTTAAAAACATTTCTTTTTAATTAAAAAAATGTCCTTCACGGGACTTTACCGTGAATTGTCGTGATTGTGTATTTCAATTTTTGGACACAGGAATGACCCACAAACAGTTATGAAATCATCCACCTAGGTAGCAAAAACAGTAGAGCGGGTTATTTTTTAGAAGGGGAGAGATTGGAATGTGTTAGCGTCCAGAGGGACTTGGATGTCCTTGTATATCAATCACAGAAAGTTAGTCTGCAGGTGCAGCAGCAATTAGGAAGGCGAATGGTATGTTAGCATTCATTATGAAAGGATTAGAGTATAAGAGTAGGGAAGTCTTGCTGCAATTGTATAGGGCCCTGGTGAGACCACACCTGGAATACTGTATGCAGTTTTGGTCTCCTTATTTAAGGAAGGATGTACTTGCCTTGGAGAGGGTGCAGCGTAGATTTACTAGGTTAGTACAAGGGATGAAGGGGATGAGTTACAAGGATAGGCTGACCAATTTGGGCCTATATTCCCTAGAATATAGACGAATTAGAGGGGAATAAGATCATCAAAGGGCATGATAGAGTAGATAGTGGGAGATTGTTTCCCCTGGTTGGAGAAACTAAAACCAGGGGTCACAACCTTAAAATCAGAGGCAGCCCTTTCGCACTGAGTTGAGGGAGAACTTCTTCACTCAAAGGGTGGTGAATGTATGGAACTCACTACCCAAAGGGCTGTTGACGCTCAGTCCTTGAACATATTCAAGACTGAGATAGATTCCTTATTGCAAAAGGGATTAAGGGATATGGGGATAAGGCAGGGTCAGGTTATTAGCTGGAGTTAGATTAGAAGATCAGCCATGATTGAATGGCGGGGCAGGCTCGAAGGGCCGAATGGCCTACTCTTGCTCCTACCTACATGTTATGTTGTGTTATGTTATGAAGTGAATGACCAATTTCATTTGGTGGTTTGTTGGCCAGAACCCTGGGAGGAACACCATCTCTTTTCAAATAGTGCAGCAGTTCGGGGATCTTTAATGCCCACCTGAACAAGCAGACAATACCTTGTTTTAATGTCTTATCAGAAGGATGACACCTCCAGCAATGCTGCACACCCCCGGGAACTGCATTGGAGTGTCAGCTTGGACTCTGAGTTCCAAGTTCCAATGTGGGGCTTGATTTCACAATCTTCTGACTCTTCTGACTTCTTTCTGAGGAAAGATTGCCACCAACGGAGCCAGACTGACACATACACTGAAGTTGTTGCTGATCCAACAACTTAAGTTGTTAAGTTGATCCAAACAATGTTGTACTGTTTTGTCATCATCCAACAACAACTTGCATTTATAAAACGCCCTTCACGCCGGACGGCGTATTGGAGGGTTTAATCCCTCTGATGGATATCAGAAATGTAGTTGTTGATTTCTGACACACAGGCAGACAGACAAAATAGTAAACCATTCCCCTCTGAACACGTTCCGATGTGCTCCATCACGCCATGTGTGCCCCCATTCCTTTTTTTCCCCGCTACCA